TAATTAGGTTGAAATTATATATTGCAAAAAATATATTGCAATATATAATATATAACAAAACATATATAAAAATATATAATATAAAAACTTTCTCACATGTGCAAATCAACTTATGCCAATGGGAACGACCAAATTGTAATTTAATTCATTAAAGGTAATTAGCTGCAGTGGGAACTTGATATTATACAATATTACTTATTCATCCTTCTAGCACATTTATTATAGTATATTCACACTGTCTCATTTAGGCACTTGCTCATTTACATTAATGAATGAACGTTCACTAATTTATGCAGCTGTTACACATTTTATACACTTTTATAAACTTTACTTAATAATATATCACACAAAAAAAAATATATAATTGATATATTAAATCATTTATATACATTTTATATATTAATTACAGATACCATTAATAAAAACAAAGATTTTATTAAATACTTATATACAATGCCTTTATATATAGCTCAGCTGTTTGTTTACATTTTACATATGAAACATATTTCAAATTTTGGTAGTTTCCCTTGTGGGGAATTTATTTTTAAAGATTGCATTCAACATTTTTCGCCTTAAATGAGCTGATTTATGGATAATGAGCTCATTTATATGAACGCTCTTTGTCATTATTATTATACATCATCCTCATTAGTGGCTATAAGCAAAACTGCCTTAATGAGACAATGTGAATGTGCTATTACTTAATATTCGTTTGTTAATATTTATTTTTATTATTAATGCTTGTTCGTTTCAAAAGGTTTGTTTTATCCCATTCAAACAAATGCCATCTTCGAGATTTTTTCTATTTTCTATTTAATTCTGAACTTATCTCCAATATACACAAAAAAAAATAGCTAACAGTACCAAAATTGTTTGAATAAGATAGTACTAGCTAACAGCATTAACATAATAAAAATTTTATTTCACAAAAATAAACCTATAAAAAATGACCATATAAACATTTGTAATCTGAAAACCTGCATGTTAAGTATAAATTGCAGAATATATCATACCATAGTAAGAATTAACATTATCGGTTGACGAAGTTTATAATGTCAGCAGTAATTACGAGATGGTGTTACGAGGAATAACACCCTGATAAATGATATTAAAGTTATTTTCAGTTAGCCTTCAAGAATTCTTTATATTATACATCAAGCATAATGTTAATGTTCTAATATATTATAATATGAATAAACCAGCTTTAGCAGTATTTTAATCTGCATTTTTTTAAAATTTTTTTCATTGACAGCAAATCTGTTTGACTTTGCTTATCTTATTAACTTTTATTTGATAAATACTTGATCCTTGCGTTTCAAAATCTTATAACATATTATATATGTCACAATACATCTTACTTAGCGCTTTTATATAACCACTTTCTGTAAATATATCATTCCAATATTTCGTTTGGTCAGATCATAAATATACACTTACTCGTAACAAATAATTATTAATTTCATGATCTAAATTGGCAGTACCATATTCAAAGACATATATAACAGTTCTGTTCTCCAAGCTTCATATGGTTACTTTAAGGTTTTCGAAATTAGATATTATGAAAACTTGTCACAGAAACAGTTTCTATCATTTCTGCCAAGATCTGTCAAATAATGATAGAGCTATTTGCTATCTATCTACCGACAAGTACTATATAAATTACCTCAAGAGATTCCAAAAGATGACAACCCTTTACATAGCTATTGCTGTATAAATAAAATCTATTTTACATGTGAATTTTATAGAGGTAGATCATAATTTTTTGAAATCGAAGATTGTTTCTTATTTTTATAAACGTATAGAAAATCTATTTTAACAACTGTTTTGTTATAATAACTGATAGTAAACTATAAACATGACTACCAGTATTTGAATGCTGTCATAAAATATGTATAGATATAAATAATCGATTTGTGTTAATATTAAACTTGACTCAAAAAAAAAACTCTACGTGCTTCGAACAAACAAAACGTCTTCGAAATAGAAAAATAAACTTTTTCATAACACTTCTGTTCTCTTCTATTTGTTAATAAAAATATTATTAACAAAGCGAATAGGAGATTTAAACTTCTTTTATATACGATAGAAGCCATCTCTTTAATATTAATAAAAAAATATACTGGAAGCTTACCAGTCATTCTAACATGGTTAAGAAAACAAAGTCACACTGTCATTTGTTCAACAATTGTAACTTTTCTATATCTTTCTATGAAAACTATATAGTCAATTTCTTTATTATGTTTCAATTACCAGTTCTTACCTAGGTCTATGATTTCTATATACTCTTCAGAATCACATTATTTAAATTAAGTAAAGGTTAGTATAAATTATACTCGCTGTTCCGTTTTGAGTAGTGCTGCTATCGCCTTAACCAACACATATACCTTGATATGTTTTTTTTTTCTTATGAGACTTGAACACACTAAAACCACTTCACTGATATGAGTTGAGAAGACGTAGGCTATCAGAATTGAGAGACGTCTTGCTGAGATCTCCTCTCAGCAATCAGGAGAAAAAGATATAAGAATATATGTGTTTACAAATTGATTGTTTCTTTACCTATGCTTATAAGTAACCTAGAGATCTATTGCGCCCCCTTCATGGACTTCGACTATTTCTCTAAGTCCTTTCTTTATTAATTGTAATATTGAACCTTCATCACAGAGTTTTATATCTTCATTTTATATTAGATGTCCACCTAGCCATTTTTGATACACGTAATAAAATAAGAAAACATAAATCACAGTTATCGAAAGTCGGTGCTTAAGTATCTGTTGTCTGTTTCATTTGTAGTGCATTTGCTATATCTCCCCCCAGCTGACTTGATCATTTAAGTATAAGGGGTTCTCGCATCGTCTGACCCAAAAAGTTTGAAACGAATTTTTTACTATAATGCTCGAGAAATCTACCTGAAACTATTCCAAGGTAAACCAGTTATTCGCTGGTTTTTAGTGTCCCCCTGGACGAATTATTAATTGATTTTTACTATAAATTTATATTTCTGAACTTTGTACTTCTAATACGAAACAAAAAATAATAAAACAAATTAGACAACTATTTATTATATAATTGTTTAATATAAACGTGTTTATTATAAAAACTTGTAACAACACAGATTAGTTATATGTATATCCAAGGTACATTCTCACTTAGCAAGGAAAGATGTTGATATATTTTTTGTGTTTTACTTGCATTATTTAACAGACTGGTAGATTGAAAAAGTTGATTGCAAACTAATTTTAAATAGAAACTAATGAATGTCAACCATCGTCTTATGTGACTACGCCTTGCCCGTATGTCAGCAATTCCTATTCGTATTATTATATACATTGTTTCTTTACCAAGTAAGTCGCATAATTTACTTCTTGTATACGAAATAATAGCACCCAGTAGGGCAGAGTCATACTCCCTTTCTGTGGGAGTAACCTTTCTGCGATTAGAAAGGTCTTAATCATTTCTGACTCTTACTGATCGCTGGCGCTTTTCTAACGCACGCTAAGAACTATAGATATATAACACACTTCGTTCAAATTTAGATTTTTGTATATATCTGGTTGTGCTGATCTTGAAATATCAATTTTATAACTCTGTTCATAATGTATGTACAAAGATATAGAATTGCCATGAATTCGTTTTAGGATCTTAACAAGGTTTTGTCAGGTTCTTGACCTGCCTTTCCAATTTTTGTGTTGTGAAACTGTTGGAACTCTGCTTGTACATTTGTGGTATTTATTTATTAGTACTTCCTACTTTGGTTATTTTATATTTTCTGACGTATTCCATCCAGTGTTATTGTGTACATAGCAATAAAAAGTTTTCTATATGATTTATTTTTTATTTAAAGTTATGAACCATATAAGATTAAACATATTTAAGAACTTATTTATACTGATTGTAATGACTGCATATTCCGTTTTCATGAAAAAGATTTTACCTTTAATGTGGCATCCTTAAATTGTTATTTCACCTTCTACAAATATTAGAAGCGAAAACAATGTACATTTGTGTCGAAAGAGATACATGAATGTTTGCAATTATTTTCTGAAATAAAAATTATGTTTATCACTTCGTGAATATAGTAGAAAAGCGACTTACCTACAAAACCTCTGTTCATACTTACTCATTTGGTTTGGTGATCAATGTCTCCGATATAAAGCGATGAACCATTAATATTTACATAAGTGGAACTGTATGAATTTGAACCAAACTATAGTCACTTGAACTTACATTTAAGTTAGTAATTATGGTTTCTCAAACATTAGAGTTACAAAAATTAGTTATCAAAATTCTTATCTCACATGATGTTGAACTGTGTAATGTACCAACCGGTGAAGTGAACGTCCCTAATTTGTCCCATCTGAAGAAAATCCTTCCCTTAGTGAACACTACTTTCGAATTAAATCAAAGACATAAAAAATTCAACGTTTTTAATTTATTCAAAGGATTTACAATTACAATTACAAATGCTTGTTTTTAATATTGCTTATATCTTTATTGCTACTACAAATAAAAAATTTCATTTAATATAACAAATATATGTATACAAATCATATAAATATATAAGCACCACTTCTGATGAACCCACTTAGTAAAAGCTTAGAAGAAGCTACGCTAATAGTCCCATCTACTAAAAAATTTAGTAATTAATAAGGGACACTAGGATACTTTATTACTGATATCGCTGCTTTGACTGCCGACTATCGATTGTGTTCTCATATGTTGTCTGAACACTTTTAATTGAGCGCTTATTTTTGCTTGTTTTGGTTTCAGAAAATAATTCCAAGTCATTATTTATGTTACAGTTATCTAGTTTATTAATTTTGCCAGTTTTAATTTTATGTTTAATCGTTGAAACCGTTCACATTTCTCAATTTTCTATCATTACTTCTTTTTCTGAGAACGCCAATTTACTATAGTATGAAATTTTTCCACTTTTCTTTATTTCTATCACGGGTGAAACGTCCTTGATGTGCATATAGCGTCAATTTGCTGTAGAGAAAAATATTTTATATTTTAAATAGTTTTATTGTCCAATATAAAACAGCAAATTAAAATTATTTTCTAGCAAGTATATTTATTGACGAACTTATATATGTATTTTTACATAAAACGAAAACTAGGAGTTCTTTTTAAATGAGCGCAACTATAGACTTTAAAAACTCCTAAAAATTTGTTAGAATTTTATTTAAACAAAAATCATTATATTTCTTTCTTTAAAAAAAACTTAATATATGCGTATTTATATTATTTTTACTTTTGAAATTGTACTAAATATACGGGGTGACTGACAAAAATCGTAACAAAATAAAACGCTATATTTTGTTTATTTTTGTTAAGTTTAATGAAAGATAAATGAAAATATGCGAAAAGAAAAAGTTTAAATTAATTTATTTTGGTTCAAAATAGCCGCCTCTAGCATGAATTATGGCATTTAAACGACCTGCTATTACAAGCTGCCCGGAAATGACTCTGCGGTATTTTGGCCCATTCTTGGCTTAGCGCTTCCTTCAGACGATCGACATTTTGGTATTTTTCAGTGTCAGCGAATTTTTTAAAATACCCCAGACCGAGAAATCTAAAGGGTTCATATCGGGTGAACACGGTGGCCACTGTGTTGATGGAATAAATCACGGAACGTTGTTTTTCAGCGATTCTTGGTTGACGCGTGCTTTGTGCGATGGTGCTGAGTCCTGTTGGAATGTCCAACGACTATGACCGAAATGATCATCTGACAAGAGGTTTAGTGCTCCACCTAAAATAATTTCCTGATAGATTTGTGCGTTTATTTTTACCCAACGGTCGATGAACACGAGCGGAGACCGAGCATCGGGCGTTACGGCGGCGCACACCATCACCATCGGTAACGCCTACTTTCTGGTGACCATTCGTATGTTTCAATTTTAAGATGACCTCTCTGACAAGTACACTCGATCATTGTGATATCATGTTCTTTATTCAACTTCAATGGTTTTAGTCCAAGCTTATTTTTTAAAATGTGTTAAGTCCTACTAGCCATACGTTCAGCTTCTTTGTCATTTGACTGCAGCTACGGCATGGTTTTGTTTTGTTTTTTTTTAATTTACGAATCATTTCTGGTGTTGTTACTGTTTTTTTTTTTTTGGTCCACTTCCTGTTGTTGGGCAACTCTACCAGTATTACGATATCGAGCTACCGTACGACACACAAGTGTTCACATTTAGGTGTTGAAGGCCTCGGACGATAACCACTTGTTTTTCCAGCCAAATATAAAGTAATCACACTATAACGTTTGAACTCCGTCCCATACAACTCCTTTTCTACAACACAAAAATCAAAATGCCTTTGTACGCTTGTAAGCAAGACAATGAACTGTCAAATGAATTAATTTTGAGCTTTCTGTAATTTTTGATATGACAGCTAGATCGGTGCGAAGTTTGTTTGCAATTTTCATTAGTTTCCCTGTCTATATTAATATTTTTAAATCTATATTTTTTTTATAGTTTCAATGATTTGTATCAGGGTCCTATATCAGGGCGGAACAGAAAACTAAAAAATGGAGTTATTTTTATTGAAATTAAAAAAAAAATTGGTCATTTCTTCTAACTACTTTTCAAAAGTGTTTATTTTAAGTACAAATAAAGAAGATTATTAGAACATATAGCACTGTGATCTGATAAAAAGTTAAATTTGTTTATTCTAAATTTACCCTCCTAATTCAATATGCTTATACAATAATGTTTTTCAATCTTGGAAACAAATATTGAAGTCGGTGTTCGGAATGACTTTAACGCATAGCTATTCTATTTTATCTACCCAATCGTGTCAAAACGGTGTCTCCGGAATGGTTTACTGAGTTTAAGGGCTATATTTAAGGTGATAAATTAGGCTAATTTGACGGTTGTGGAACTTTGTTATAAATATTTGGCAAAATGGTCTCGAAGATCCATTGTCTACCTATAATTTTAGTCACTTTTTACGGCTATCTTAATACAAACATTGTATAATATTTGTTAGTAACAGTTTGACTAATTGAAAGATTCATAATTCACTTTGATGTGATCTTATCTGTCTTGACTAACAGTTTGCACAGTATTCGCTTTATAAAAAAACAAAATAAAATGTTTAAATATTTAAAAAATTATGCCAAAAAAAAATTAAATAATCGAATTTTTGGCTGATCATACAACTGTATCAAGTATTGGTAAGTATATATTATCATACTAAACTTGTGCTGGTCTAACTTGTAGTTTTTTAATATTTTATTTCACCAACTTATTTTTTTTTTGTGTTATACTAAAAAGAATGTATATTCTTTGTCTATGTTATACTAAAAAGAATGTATAAACCACAGCTATTCAAAATTTAATTAACTATTGTAATTTTGTCATTAAATTTCGATTCTATTCCTTTTGTAAAGGTTTTTCAACAATAATCCGAAGTCGATGTACATATCAAACATACTAAACGGTTAATTCCAATTTCATATATTAAAACAATTTCATTTAAATTAATTATAAATTAAGAGTATATATTAACTGTTAGTTTTAAAGTGAATGAGAATTATAATGTAATGTATATTATGTAGGTGAAATTTACTGCAAATAACTGTTTTTTTTTATGCATTAAAATTAATAAATTTAATTTAATATTTTTACTACAGAGTACATAAAAGCAATGGATTGTTTTATTAATTATAAAAAGATATCGAAAAATTATTTAAGATTGAATTAGAATATAAAAAATCTTTTTTGATCTTTATGGAATTTCGAAAATAAGAGACATTAGGTCTTACGTTTTATTTTAACAAGTAAGTCACAATGTATTATGCTAATTATAAACAAGTACTTGATCTTATCAAACAAACATTTAAATCTGGACTGATCTTTATGGAATTTCGAAAATAAGAGACATTAGGTCTTGTTTTATTTTAACAAGTAAGTCACAATGTATTATGCTAATTATAAACAAGTACTTGATCTTATCAAACAAACAAGAGAATACTTAAATTAAATTGTAATTAAAAATAACAAAAATTTAGCTAATTTAAAAATAAATTAATTATTTAAAAATAAATTAACTATTTAAAAATAAATTAATTATTTAAAATAATAATAAATAAATTGATTTTTTATTTAAAAATAAAAATTTTAAAAAAATATGAAATACTTTACAAAAGATTACTGAAATTTAACAATTAAAAATAACTATAATTAATGCAATTATTCTACACCAAATGAATTTGTTTCATAACTTTTACAGCAAATTAACAAAATTTTAAGTCAGAGCCAACGATTTTGGGTCAGATGACTAATGAATATTGATTTTAAATTTAAATTTGGCAAGTTATGAGTTCAACCCTTCGTAGTTGCAGTATGAAAAAATTATTGACGAATAATAAATTATAAAAAATAATACCAAAAACTTCTCTATTGATGAGAATAGTTTATATTAAGGGAATAGTTTCTCTCGTCTTAACTGAAGTTAAAAATTAATTTAATAAAATAAAATTATTTATTTAAGAGAAAATTAATTGTATAAAATAGTAATTAATAAAAAATTATTAATTTAAACGTTTTCTTTTTTGATTTTTTTAGCTGACTATTAGAATATTTTTATATTGTTATGGCAATGCTTTGCTTTCGAAAGGATTTCGATTGTCCGGGTACACCTATTGACTTAATTATTTTTGAAAGTAATCAAGTAATCCATGTTTTTAGGTACATAGTTTAGTGGTAAAAGTTCAAATTGTAGTAACCAGAAAATCGGAATAGCGTTATTGTTTTTTTTTATTGATAACACTGAGTGAAAATAAAATTTTTTTTATAGTGTTAGGTAAACTTATTGTTGCCGACCTCGAATTGACAACCCGTTTTTTTCCTAGACATCTACGTCTCTGGCAACAAAGTAAAGTTCAAAACTTGAACATCTAAAGGGTTTATAAAAAAATTTTATTTTGAAAGATATTTTGAAACAAAATTTGTGTTTACAGTAAACATGCTACGAAGACAAAAATGTGTAATTAAAATAAATAATTAAAATGTATAATTAAAATGTATAATTAAAATATATAATTATAATAAAATAAATAATTAAAATGTATAAGTAAAATATATAATTAAAAAAATAATGAAAATATATAATTAAAATAATAACTAAAATATATAATTAAAATAAACAAGTAAATTAAACAAATATTTTTACCTAACATATTGAATTACCCTCCATTAAAAATGATTTTTTTCTGCAAGGTTATATTCAGAAATCTCCCTTAAACTTTACATATGTTTCCAAATATATTTCTTTATTTAAAATTCCAATTTACCGTATTTAAAAAAATATATCAATTTTTATGACTGTTAATTTCTATGGAGATTATATAACATAATTAAACAATTTGGCCTATTTCTCAACTTTGTCTGCTTGGTTTTACAGAAAGGTTTAACGTAAAATTTTAAATTTTAATTCTGTTACCTCAAAAACTATTGGACTTATCTATCTACTAATCGAATGGATCAGGCTCCGTAGTTTCATTTTAACATATTGTCTAAAAAAAATTAATCGTTTATATTTTGTCTTATGGCAGTTAAACACTAGATCAGTAAACCCGCACACGTATTACTTAATCACTATTAAGTACAATTCAGCAATAGTAATAAATTATAAAATAGTTAAGATGGTGCTATTCATATCCAGTAAAGGATGTTTTTGAAAAATAAAAAAAAAAATATTTTGTCTACTGTCTCTGTCTTCTCCAAGTCAAACTTAATGTAATATATTTATGTTTCATTTTCAGATTTTTAAAAATTATTATAATTTTTAAAATTTTTTAAAAATAATTTTGTTTTTTTACGTGCTAATTAGTCAATAGTTAAATAAAAAAAAAAACTTTTTAAAAAAGGTTTTCAAATTTTATAGTACCCTGATGATGACTATAGATTATAGTCGAAATATATATATAAATTAAAATAAAATCTTTTAAAAACAAATAAAAGCCTTTTAAAAAGTTTTTTATTTAACTATTGATCAATTAGCCCGGTAAAAAACAAATTTATTATTAAAATTCTTTTAGTCATTAAAACAATAAATCATTAAACATTTTTAAATAAATACTATTTAACTTGATTTTAAAGCACTAATATTATGCGGAAAGTAGCGTACAAGTAAAAAATAATTTTCTGTATTATACACGTACTGCGCAATTGCCATTTTTTTATTATTATTTTTAATTATTAAATTCAATTACTAAAGTGGGTTATCAATCAGTAAAAAATTCTTGTCATATTGACTTGATGAAACGAGAGTTGGTGCCTGAGACACTTTTTTCAAATGCTTTTGTGACTACTTGGGTGAACCATTATAATAAGCACTCCATCAAATTATAATCAGAGTTATTCAGGTGAAATTTATAAGAAACACTTTAAAAAATATTTAAATACTGATTCGAGTGTCTTTTGCTTTACCCCACGGACGTTCAAGTCTAAATGCCTGCACAGAAATATATTTTCATATTGACGTTAACATTTCGCTTATCACTTTTTGGTTTTTTTGTTGCATACTTTAGTGTTTTTATTTGGATTATAAAGAATTTTATTTGTTGTTTTATTTATTGTGCATGATTGTTTTAGAATATTTTTGTTACATAAAAAAATACTTTCCGTTTATACATTAAAAGATTAAAATTTGATTTAAATAATTTAGAAAAATTATAAATTTGTTTTTATATGTTGTGTAATTTGTATCAATTGTTGCTATTATAACAACTGCTATTAAACTTCGCTTTAAGTTTATTTTTTATACATGCTATAATTTAATTTAATTACTTTTTTATAATTAGCAATTTTATTTTAAATAACATCCATTGTATTAAAATCTGTGAAAGAAAACACAAATTGAACACACGCAGTTGACGTTATTTAACATTTGTTTTATACTTACCAGACTTTTTTATGAATATTTTTTATTTTAAATATTGTTATTGCACTTTACACACACCAAGTTGTGATACACATTTCCATATGTACATTAATATACTTACCAAACAAGTAATTGTTGCACCAGTACAACTCTCACATGCCGAACGACAAACCAACCGAACCCAACAGCTTAAGAAATACGACTGAAATAAGAATTGTAAAGCAACTAAGCAACTACAAAATAAGTAAAACGACCAAAAGCGAACGTATGTACACGGCAAGCGAACAAGTTTTCAATGCATTCACAACTGACTGAGGTCTTCAATAAAATATATTACATATATAAAAAAATTATGCTATATGGATTTCTTCTTAAACCGATATTCAGAGCAAATTCAATTCGCTGCTAAGAACGACGTACGTATACTACTAGCTGGTAGCTGCTTCAAAATGTTAACCAAAAGGTGGATGAATTTTACAGGCTTCAGCTCAGACAGTAGATTTTAGCAGTCGAAACGGAGAAGACGCAGAGTAGCAAGAAGTAATTTTTTTTAACGTTTATGTAGTTGTTTGATATATTCCTTTTATTAAGTATTTTCTTATTACTCTAACTTATCTTTTTGTTATTTTTTTTTTGTTTTTGACTTAATACATGCATAAAAAGCTAGTGAAGTTTAATAAATAAAATATACATACGTTGAAAAGTTGAAAGGAAGTGCATAAAATAATTTTTCCGGTGTGCAAAATTTAACGCTAATAAGTCAGACAAGTTTCATTTAACATTATTAAAAGCAAAACGCATTTAAAATTAGGTATATTAATATGTAAAATTTGGTATATACATACTTTTTCGAAAGAATATATGTACATACTTAAATATTTTAAAGAATGCACATGTATGTGTGCTTGTGTGTATAAAGTTTTTTGGTTTTGTACAACTATTTCTTTTTTTGCTTTAAAATTTTTGTTTATGCAGTAATTATTTTATATACTCAAACACAAAAATAACACAAATTGTTTTGGAAATTACGCCGAACCACTTCCTAATTCCATTGGGATTGTGTATTATGAAAAAAAAAACAAAAAAAAATTCAATCCCTTGCTTATTTAAGGCAATAAGTCTTAACAACCAAAAAGAATTTTATAAAAGTGTATTTATGAGGTGGGTATATTATTATTTTGTGAAGTGATTTAATGCAATATACAAATGCAAAAAATATATGTAAAAATATCAACAACACCCACCAAAAAACTACACAAAATGTGTACGACAGCTGAAATGTCTGCCTTATTGATTTCAATTTACCTGAAATTGTTTGCTATTCGCACCGCAAAGATAAAAACAAAAAGCAACAGCAATTCAAACGCTGAAACTGCATCAGTAAAAAATTTATTTAAATTATAAAATAAATGGCATAAGTAATACTAAACTGGAAAAATGTAATTTTTGTATGGTTATATATAAGTAACCATGAGGCGATGGAAATAATTTTGTACATGTACCACTTAATAATGCTGAACACAAGAATTCCACAAAACAACCAGCAAGCACAACGCATTAAAACAAATACACAGATGTGTAAAATGTCAAAACTGAAGGCAAATATACTCGTGCATGTATATGTGAGTGCACGAGTGTTCAAAAAAGGGCAAATAGACGAAAACTAGGTTTGGCTGTGTGGAAATGTCTAGTTTTAGTTGAGCATTATCAGACGACATAAAAATATTTTTTAAACAAAAAAATACTTTGAATAGATGTGTACATACAAAATCTTATCTTAAATATTGGTTTTATAAAAACTATCAGTTGAATTCAGTACAATTGGAATATGCAGTTATAAAAAATAACTATCAGAAGAAGTTAATATAACAAAAGTTTGATTGCAAAGCGAAAAAAAGCAAAAAGCTTAAAAACTTAAATAAAAAATTATAAAGGATATACGGAAATAAAAATATAAAGAAACATTAAAGACGGAAAAAGTTGATTTTAATGATATATGAGAATATGTGGAAAGAATTAAAAAATTATGATTAAAAACGGCTTTACGTAAGGAATGCAAAAAAAATCATTTATAACTTGAATGAATGACTCATTCTATTATACAATATGTCTATACGCATACACAATTAAAAAAATTGTGTATACAGAAAATTTATTGAATTCGCCGTGAAATTTTCTTCGAAAACAAACAAAGGTAGATAGAAAATAAAAAAATTATTTTTTGTCTCTATTTTTATGTTTTACGTTGTGACTTGAATTTTAAAACGGCCATTTTATTGATGTTCGAAAAATTCCTAAAACAAAGAGAAATAAACATCGAAGCAAAGTAAATTGAAAATTAATCGCACATACGATCTGAATACATACAAATGCTTTAATAAAAATTTAAAATCTATGGCAAAAAGTAGAGAAATATAATAGAAACCTTAATCAATAAATATTGTAGAAAAAAAATTGTTCTCTTATATTATTAACATTTAATTTATAAATTATATTAATAGTATAAATATATATTATAACTATTAATTTTTTTTGTTTTAAAATTAAAACAATTTTATAGTTTTATTGTTTATAATACAATATACTTAAACTAAATCGTTTTCAGTTAAAAATTCGTTTTTTCGTTAAAACAATTTTATAGTTTTATTGTTTATAATACAATATACTTAAACTAAATCGTTTTCAGAAAAAAATTTAATTATAATTTACCTACTCTTTCTATTAATACTTTATAAAAAATTATATAAAAATATGCACAAGAAATGAAAATTGAAATGTTTAATAGCAAATAATATACAAGAAACATCATGATTCCGTAGTATCACAACAGGTCATTATTTCTGCTCAAGTGGACTTTGGTGTTTAATACCACACTTCAATCTATGCTTCTAAACTGATGACATGTTGAAGGCATCATCTTAATTAAAATATACTAAGCAAGGTTTAAGAAAGTTTGAAATTCGTAAATATCAAGGTTAGGTTAGGTTATACCGGCGATCCCTGATGGAGTAAATGTCAAAATGTGACGGTATTTTCTTGAGATACAGGGTCAACATCTTGAATCTTAGATACACTTATCCAAACACCACAATTTGGAGAAACAATTTAAATTTTTTTAAAATCGATATAGAATAGCTAGAAAATAAAAGACTTTAATCCTTAAGCATTATACACTAATACAATGGGCTAACAGACGTGATCAGTTCATTGGGGTCACAATAATATCCATTGCCATAACAGAATTTTAAACTATTAGTACTATAAAAGTATCGTGAACTCGTCTTAACTTTCAAAAAAATACCTGAGTCCATTTGTTCCCGTAAATTTCAAGACGTGTCATTATTGAGAGAAATTTTAAAATAGATCTGAAATCCTACCCAGGAATTCTGAGCTCCTATACCTTAATAATCTGAATGGATTTATTTCGTCCTATACCGGAAATCAAATCGATATATTAATTTCTATACGTTTTCAATGGTAAAATCAAATAATATTAGACGATAAATCCAAATGATCACAGATCCAGGTCAGGAGGTCAACTTATTATTAAAAATGTATTCGGGTTTCTATACCTTTTAGGTATCAACCAAGAATATAAGGAAAACACTTAAACAAAGTCAGTATTAAAATTAATGTGGTTCAAAAAATTATTAAACCGAATTTAATACTACCAGACAATTCAAAAGTCTTTCCAATATAGTATATGTATCTTGAGACAGTTTAAGTACATCTCAAACTATTGGTCATCTTCAAAACAATATAAAAACATTTCGGTGCGTCTTAAAAAATTACCAAATATCAGAAGACCCTATTAAAAAATTTTACGAAGTACAAATCAAAATTTTCTCAGCTGTATGTTTCTAATGGAGCTAAGAGAGTGCTAGATTGTTTTTTTTTTAATTTATTTCATTTTGTTTAGTTTTTTTTCAATTATTTTTATTGAGCTGGCACTTTGACTGTTGCTTATTTTAATGTAGTGCACTGACTGCATATATGAGTAAAAGTGATTTAAGTTGAATTAATAATAATATAATAGTGGGACAGTTACAATAAACGACTTATTTACTATTTTATCATTATTTACAATTAGGTTTATTCTTTTTTTATAAATAATTTTTGGGAGTCATATTTTTTCTGCAGTATTTTTTAATTTTTTTATATTTGATTTTGTTATTTTTTTATTCTTGGTGCATTTTTTGTGTTAATTTTGTTAGTTTTTTTTCTGCTGTTTTATTTTTTTTTTTCATTGTTTTATTTTTTTTTTTGTTCTTGTTTTATTTTTTTTTTCTTTGTTTTATTTTTTTTCTTTGTTTTATTTTTTGTTTTTTTGTTTTTTTTTTTTTCTTTTATTTTTCTTCTTTATTTTTTTTTTCTTTTTATTTTTTTTTTCTTTTATTTTTTTTTTCTTTTATTTTTTTTTTTAATTTTCTTTATTTCATTAAATTTTTCTTTATTTCACATAATTTTTTTTTCTTGTTATTTATTTATTTTTTTTCTTGTTATTGTTTTATTTTTTTTTTTTTCTGTTATTTTATTTTTTTTTTTCTGTTTTTTATTTTTTTCTTTTCTTGGTATTTTATTTTTTTTTTTCTTGTTATTTTATTTTTTTTTTGTTATTTTTAATTTTTTTTTTCTTGTTATTTTTATTTGTTATTCTTGTTATTTTATTTTTTTTTTCTTTGTTACTTTATTTTTTTTTTTCTTGTTATTTTTTTTTTTTGTTATATATTTATTTATTTATTTTTTTTTTTGGTAAATTTGCAATCATAAGGGTATTAAAATAAATAAGGGTAAATAATGCAATCCAAGGGTATTAAAAGCAATTTGTGCTTGAGGTACTCCATCACATTTAACTGTGTAGAAATTATTCATTTGATTTTATATGAATCATACGGAATACGGATATCATTTATACTTTTGGCTTTGGTCGGTCTATCACATATAAACTGGATGATATTGCTAAAGAACTATGGATCAATCACAGTTTTAAACCATTTGCATTAAACTTATTACGAAAAGAAGCTCAATCATAAAATGAGTGACAACCATGCAATATACCAAATTTTCATCTACAAATTCCTGTCAAAACTGAATGATACCGAAACATTTTTAAAACTTATATATGTTGTATGGCGAACCCGGGATTGACGTCAACGGAAGTGACAGGACTTATATTCCTAGAAATCTCCCCGA